GGACGCTCCCCATTCTGTATTTCATTGGTTATTGTAGGACACTCCCCATTCTGTATTTCATTTGTTATTGTAGGATGCTCCCCATTCTGTATATCACTGGTTATTGTAGGATGCTCCCCATTCTGTATTTCAATGGTTATTGTAGGATGCTCCCCATTCTGTATTTCATTGGTTATTGTAGGATGCTCCCCATTCTGAATTTCATTGGTTATTGTAGGACACACCCCATTCTGTATTCAATTGGTTATTGTAGGATGCTCCCCATTCTGTATTTCATTGGTTATTGTAGGATGCTGCCCATTCTGTATTTCATTGGTTATTGTAGGACACTCCCCATTCTGTATTTCATTGGTAATTGTAGGACACTCCCCATTCTGTATTTCATTGGTGATTGTAGGATGCTCCCCATTCTGTATTTCATTGGTGATTGTAGGACGCTCCCCATTCTGTATTTCATTGGTTATTGTAGGACACTCCCCATTCTGTATTTCATTTGTTATTGTAGGATGCTCCCCATTCTGTATATCACTGGTTATTGTAGGATGCTCCCCATTCTGTATTTCAATGGTTATTGTAGGATGCTCCCCATTCTGTATTTCATTGGTTATTGTAGGATGCTCCCCATTCTGAATTTCATTGGTTATTGTAGGACACACCCCATTCTGTATTCAATTGGTTATTGTAGGATGCTCCCCATTCTGTATTTCATTGGTTATTGTAGGATGCTGCCCATTCTGTATTTCATTGGTTATTGTAGGACACTCCCCATTCTGTATTTCATTGGTAATTGTAGGACACTCCCCATTCTGTATTTCATTGGTGATTGTAGGATGCTCCCCATTCTGAATTTCATTGGTTATTGTAGGATGCTCCCCATTCTGTATTTCATTGGTTATTGTAGGACACTCCCCATTCTGTATTTCATTGGTTATTGTAGGATGCTCCCCATTCTGTATTTCATTTGTTATTGTAGGTCGCTCCCCATTCTGTATTTCAATGGTTATTGTAGGATGCTCCCCATTCTGTATTTCAATGGTTATTGTAGGATGCTCCCCATTCTGTATTTCATTGGTGATTGTAGGACACTCCCCATTCTGTATTTCAATGGTTATTGTAGGATGCTCCCCATTCTGTATTTCAATGGTTATTGTAGGATGCTCCCCATTCTGTATTTCATTGGTTATTGTAGGACACTCCCCATTCTGTATTTGAATGGTTATTGTAAGTCGCTCCCCATTCTGTATTTCATTGGTTATTGTAGGATGCTCTCCATTCTGTATTTCATTGGTTATTGTAGGATGCTCCCCATTCTGTATTTCATTGGTTATTGTAGGATGCTCCCCATTCTGTATTTCATTGGTTATTGTAGGATGCTCCCCATTCTGTATTTCATTGGTTATTGTAGGACACACCCTATTCTGTATTTCAATGGTTATTGTAGGATGCTCCCCATTCTGTATTTCATTGGTTATTGTAGGACACATCCCATTCTGTATTATTCATGAATGGTAATCTGTTTATTGTTTCAATTCTAGATAAATAGTTAGGAAATCCAAATGTTAGTCAGTAGGGTTTAGACTCTCCCAACACAGGTCAACTCTATCCCTCAGCCCAGAGGGTTGAACCGACTCTCTGTGGCCTCCCCATGTCATTCCATTCTTGTAAATAAAATTCTGATTAGCTTCTTGTAACTTCAGACTCTTTCCTAAGTTGTCCTTCAATAACCAATGAAATACAAAATGGGGCCATTATAGAGAGACCATCTGCATCCAGACATTTCTGCCTAAAGATCACATATATTTTAGGGGGGTACAAATACATAAATCACTAATTGGCATCGTTATAAATGAAACCCTGTCATTAAAAATACTCATTTCGATCTTTAATTAACTTAAATCGACCTTTTTGACAATGGTGCACAAAGCTCACCCGCGAACGAAATTTCAACCAATACGAGCGGCGCCGGCTCTATGACGTCATATGAGGAATAGCTATGAGGGCCGATGCAGAATTCATGTACATTTTAGGGGGTAAATTATCTTGTTTACAGGTTTGTATAAACCTGAAATCGTGACAACTGTTGTGAAAAATGAAAGCTATATGTTCTCACAATCTACTGTCATTTACTTTTGTCTCCTGCTTTGCCTAGTTTCCGAGTGACAACTTGTTTTCATAGACGATTCTGTCAAAATTGCTTGGTGTCGCTAGGCCTTATTTGTTCGAGCCAGACGCTAGTGATAGCGAAAACGATGATCAGCCTCGCTCATCACGGTTACGGTTAATTTCTGCAACCTAAACAGTGCGACATTAAGAAGGGTGGATGCCGTTTTTTACCTCGATATTTAATCATGTCATGTAAAAATATGACATCTATTACGTTTGATATTAAACATTGAAATTTGATTCATTTGAATCCGTAAACTAAACAACCCTACTTTGCCATTGCTAGAAGAATCTGAAAATTTACTTACTAGGTAAATAGGTACTTACAGTTTTAGCACACAATGCTTATATGCATTTCTTATGCAACAATGAAGTCCTGTTCGGTGTCCGCCCATAAGTTTTCACATGCAATTAAAGTTGCATGCAATACAGCAATTAATACTCCCTTGTTGCAACCCGTGTTAGGTGGTATAAACCTACACATGTTCTTGTCATCATTCACTTGATGGTCAGTTAATAAATTTAGAACAGGTATAATTAGTGGTAACACCACTTAGATTACCCAACAAAGGTTTCTATTTGGCATTTCTTGTGTCTGGAGTAAATACTCAACATTATAAACATCGATCAAAGGATTAACCGATAACACGCTGATTGATTAATTACTTTTATCTTACACAGGGATTTGTCAAAAGGTAGTGTTTATGTATGTAGATTTACTAATCTATACTGAATACACTCTGTCGTGTCTGTGTCTGCGTAAAAACAACGTCCTTCCTTCAAAGGATTAACCGGCGATACATTAATTGATTGCTCATTATTGGCTGACTAAATTACTTTTTTTTAAAGAATGGTGGACATTATGCAATTGGATGCCAGGTGTGCTATCTTGTGTGACCAGTGAGACTATACGCCAATGTGAAATACCTGAAACGATATATCACTTTTTCGTATATTAGACTGTTAAAAGACACATCACTTGGAACAGCTGCAGATAAACGGCATATCACTCATTTTTGTGGATATTGATGGATACATTCCTCGAACAAGGTAATAGCCTGACATTGTTCCTATGACTTTAATCCGTTTTAATTTTAATATTTGCATTTTGTTTTTATTCATTTGTTGTAGCATTCAACAGAATCATTGTTTTCTCTGTGAAGTGTAATGAGACAGACAACATACACTAGGGTGTGTGTGCGAATTATGATTCACATTGGCAAACTATAAAATGTCTAGATATTACAGTCCTGTTAAGTATCAGCAGATCGTCTGCTTTTTATTTAGTTTCAAAATGCATACAAGTATGAAAATAAACTAATTAGGATTATAAGACCAAATATGAAGACGTACATTGACTAGTATCTACATACTGGTGAGTGGACGTTAACCATGTGAATGTAGCAAGAAATTTATCGCACAGTATTGTCACTTCCACCCCACCTCGCTTCCATGGAAGCAATAGTTATGTTACAAGTTGTGTCATGCAAAATCCTTTTGGTCATGATTCAAATACATATTTAACTACAAGTAGAAAGTAGTTTTGATTTTCTAACTTGAAAATATACCATAATCTCATCAATTCTAACAGACTTTAGCCCGTGACTTTTCAATTTTCAAAAATGGCGGCGCCCTGTCGCGAACATCCACCAGTCTGAGGATAAATGCTATTTAGGTTTGTTTTCACCGAGTTACAAAATCAAAACTACTTTCTACTGGAAGTAAAATATGTATTTGATTGATGGCCAATAGGATTTTGCCTGACATAGCTCATAACATAACGATTTCTCTCTTGGAAGCGAGGTGGGTGTCAATATCATACTACTTACAGTATTATTGTTACTTCGACCACAAGAAATCGTTATGTTACAAGTTGTCTTATGGAAAATCTTTATGGTCATCAATCATATACATATTTTACTACAACTAGTAAGTAGTTTTGATTCTTTAACTTCCGTAAAGCGATCTGAATCCAAGTAAGATATCATTTCAGGTTTCCACAACGCTCACTTCGCACTCACAAACATAACCCATTCAGCACGAACTGCGGAAATTTGTGCATGGTGACACCATCGCCCGACCCCTAGGAACAATTGACGACATCGCAACAATTCGGCATGTCTTCGTTGATGTCGAGAAATCATCAAAATGACGAGCTTGCTACACACTTTACATACAACTAACTGAAAATCGTTCCTCATATGACGTCACTGCAGTGCTCTGGCGACAGAGTTACGTAACCTGTCTGTGGTTTCGTTGGCGGGCGAGAGTGAAGCAGGCGACTTTTTGGCAACTTTTAATCGCTCGGTATTAATTAACCACAAGTTTTTTAAGAATGAATTTGGTGTTCCGCATAAGACTAACCACAAATCTTTCATATGTAATAGTGAAAAGAGTACAAAAAAACCCAAAGCTTATTTGTTCTTTAAGAAATGTAATCAACAAGTTTCCTCCACTGTTCAAAACATTTGTCAGAAATTAACTCCATTCACATTTAAATGAATACTTTGAAGTACATTATTCATGGGATGCAATACAGGGGCATGTCACAGGTTATTAGCAACTGTCCAAGCACAGGAATCTTTTTAATGTACTTTTCAGTTATATGTAAAGAAATATATAGCTGAAGGTACTTCAAGCGATACTACAGAAAATAGTCCTACCTTGCAATACCATAGAAATAAAGGAATTTGTTGTATTTCTAATGGCAATATTCCAATAAAATATGTTTTTGAATATGCTGCATATTCATGAATTAATATGCTATCCCTTAAAAGACTAGATGAGAATTTCAAATGGTTGGTCCTAACAAGCAGTGAAAGTAAAGATTCACTTACTCCATGACACCATGTCATCTTTAACTGGTGGTGTAGTTATCCTCTCTGCATACTCACGACTGTAGGTGACAACAATTTCTGAGTTTGCTGGGATTGACTTGACAGTGTAGAAGTAAATGTTACTGTCCAGTTGGCAAGCCAGAGAGTTGTGCTGTCCAGCAGTCTCAGGTATTGTTTGCTGGACATAGTGCATCCAGTTGCTAAACACAGGGTCAGATGTCACCACAAACTGCTTCACTTCATTGTGTTGAAAAACCTGTGGAAGAAGTAATGCATACTGATCCCACAAGATATTGAACATAATTCAAAGTATGTATTATCACTGGACACTCACAATGTCCTTTATTGGATATTTAAACTGTTTCTATAAAACATTTAATATGAGTTGTGATCAAACATTATATGAGAGTTTGATGATGTAATACTGAAAGAAAAACAACATCCTTTCAGTTCCTTTGAAAAAAGACCTATATGTTGAGTGTATCCTTATACTTCAAAAACAAACAGAAAATAGCACCATGGCACTGTAGCTCACTAAATTAAACAAATTTTAACGTCATGAAAAGAAGGGACATTTATATTCCCATTCTGACCATTTCAGATACAATGTTTACTGAGCCATAGCAGGCATTACAAGACTACTTAAGAACATGGTTGAACACACAGGTTAAAACAAGATTGATTATTGTAAAATACATTGAACATATAGGTTGAATCACCACTAATAACATCGATTCTACCAAATGTTATTATGTATGATATAAACATGAGTGTGATTTAACTCAAATGGCAATGCCTTGGCATCTGATTCTATGAGTTTTGCGTCTAACAGTCAAGGGGGACAACTCCGACTGTGACATGTTCCATGAAGCTGCAAGCAGTATTTCTTTCTATGGTTGTAAGGGACACACCAAGGGTCACAAAAAATGACCAGCATCAGAAATTTGCCTGTTAACTTTGTGTTCTTACCAACAATACCACATAGATGTTTTATGATTTCAATGAGAAATTTATCATTATTAAATAACCTTTGCCCACTCAGAGGAATTGTTTGTATTTAGTTTATCAGTTTGATTTCCTGTAGGTTTGTTTTTCAAGACATTTGCAGAAGTGTTCAGGTACTGCTGGCCCATCATTATAATACCCCAAAAGAGAAGGTTGGTTGAATGAGCATGTGACAAGCTCTGGGCTAGAGAGACTATTTGGTACTATTTGAAAAGTGAGAATTAAATGACAACATTCAAATGCTTGGGAATTTGTTTTCTTGATGACTGGCCAACATCCTTGCATGGCTGGATTCCTGTGATTACAGGATACATATGTCTTTACTCATGACTGACAAAGTACAAAACAGTGAGGCCTGCCCTCCCAGAAGCCTATGTCTTGGTCAGGTATTCAAAGAGCATGAATAGAACAGGTGAAAAGCGCTTTCATGTCTAGGCCTACTTAATGAGTCAATATGTTTCACTGCCTCTACCAAAATGGCCAATCAAAGGAATGCTGATTCTTAGCCTTGAATCCTGAAAGAGCTAGAAGCATGACTCCCGTGAAATCAGAGGCAAGAATCATTGTATAAATGTCTGTTGCTTCAAGATTCCAGAAGTTGAGCCAAGAGCCAAGAAGAAAACTGCTTTGGGCTCAAATGGATGATCGATTAAGCCTGAAAAGACTTCATTCAAATATGAGGATCTGTGCATCATTTATGCAAAGAGAGTTGGGCAGGCTGAATGATTTCATGACAAGCAATATTCCAACAGCTCAAGCCTTTGGTGTGTACATTTCACAAATATTGACTTACAATCACGTGTGCTCTTTTTACCAAGATTTCAAAGAGTATCAAATGACTCCTGTTCAGAAATTGTTCACTCAAGGTGACAACATTCAAAGTTTCAGTAAAACTTTCAAAACAATTTATGTCGGACATTTGCAGGACATTTCAAAATGTGATGCATCAGTGAAAAAGATTATATCCAATGCAAATCCGTATTTTGACTTGTACCATACGTTCCTGATTATTTTCAGCTTAACAGTTGACTAGATGATGTCACTTACTGGATCGTCTGGTCAAGACATTATTCACAGACTGCTGTCATATAGCTGTGATTTGTGAGTGTGATGTTAAACATACAAACATACAAACACTTACTCACAATTGAGTCAGAAATTTGGAAAGCATTTTTTCGCTTTTATTTATTTGAATTCCAGAAAGACTAGAATTTGCACTTTACCAAGAAAGTGTAATCCCAAATATAACACTTGTTAAGTCTGAAACCTTTGCAAAAGGAATTTTGTATTCAATACTTGAAACTCCTTAATCAAATTCAGGTGCCATCATTGGTGGACAATTTCGATAGTCCAGTGATTTTTTAGAAGTGTACAGATGAAAACACGTCACTTTTATTTATCTCATAAAAAATAATGTCAAGTGGCTGAATGTCAAGTCATAAATGGCGAATTTATGGAAATTGACTTTTTGTGACGTGTGAAATTGAATGGAAGATATATATACAGCACATTGAATGAAAGATATATATATACACAGCAGAGTCACTGAAGACATTACTGGTGAAAGACTGATCACTCTTTTCACAAAGTTGCAGCTTATTTCAGACTTTATAGGTAATGTGGTAACCTCCCATAACCCCTACGTCCCATCTCCCCTACAGGTTATCAAAACAAAGTTCACGGTTCACTGCATTGCTAATCTCTAGCCTGTTACCTATTTCAATATAAAGGAACAGCCCAAACACAGAGACAACAGAGATAGAGAGAAAGATTTAATTAGCATAACAACATTTTTATGAACATAAAAGTTTTAACAAATGCAGGTCTATGAATTGTATAAATATTTTGATGGATAATGTTTTGACAAATGCAGGACTATGAATTGTATCAAATGTTTTCTGACACATGAGGTGAGATGAAATGGGATATAATGTTGTACTTGAGAATATTTTGCTCATATGACATGTGTATGTGTGGCTGCTCGTACAAGCCCAGGCTTAATTTGGTTTTATTGTGCTAGCCCACTGAGATACCATGCCGCAGTTAAGCATGAATACCCCGCTCAGACACCTTATACTGACTCTGAGCCGACCAGTCCTGTTTGTACCCATTAATGCCGAGCACCAGACAGGGACCAATAAGTACCATATTTTAACGTCCCAGTATGAAGCGACCAGGGATCAAACCTGTGACCTACCGCTCTTCTATATCCTGGACCTTCCTCCAAATTGCCTGGCAGTAAGGGAAGAAACATCCCTTCACATCGCCAGTAGAAAACTCGACTTGGACACCACAAATACCAGCAAGCTCAAAGTCTGATGGGGTGAGTGGTTGGTTCAGTCTCTGTTGACTTCATCCTTGAGTAGCCTGAAGAGTCAGGAGTAGGTGTTCATCTGACGGGAGTAAAGCAAAGATGAGGGGATATGTCATAGCTCCGCGTCTTGCATAGATGCTATACACTTGATTCCATAGTCCAGGGCAGGCAGTGAATGTTCCATCCATGTATAGAATCTCAGACGACTGCAAGGCCTGAAGATTCTCTAGACTGCCAGAATGTTGTCACCATCAGCAAAGAGGAGGAAGGGTCGTCCATCTGCTGTCTGCGTCCATGAATCCTGAAGGTCCACCTCTGGTCTTGTCTGCGGCAAAACAGGAATCATCTTCTGTCTGTGTCGATACAAAACGCTGCTCATGGTGGGGAAAGATGGCATCGTGCCTGTCTTGCCAATGTCGGAGTGGGAGAGTTCATCATTCTAGAGGGTGTTTATCAGTGTTGACTCTTACATTGTTCTCTTCCTCAGGTTGCTGACAAACCGGATCTTCTCGGATCGTCCGGGACATGGTTATACTCTGCATCATTCCTCAGAACGGTTCCTACTGTTGTAAGTCTTCCTCTACATGTGGACTTAATACACTTCAAGTGTACTCAAATCTGTTCCTCGATATTTTTGGTGTGACCATGGCCATCAAACAGGACTTGGGTACTACCTCTCTGTGACTTGGGTACTACCTCTCTGTGACATAACAAAGTCAACATTGCGAAGACCAGTCATGTTGATGTCATGGCAGTCTGTTTCACTGAAGTTGTGTTATGTTTGTTTGTTGCAGTTGGCAGTGGGTAAACATGTGATTTGTGTCTTCATATTTATTGCAGTGTGTGCATTGTCTGTTTGGGTGTCTGTTTTGTTTATATAGGTGGTAATTTAAGTTTGTGATGCAGCTATCTATATGTTTGTTATTAGAAAATAAGGGGATTTTTAATGAGAGATTTAATGGTTGATGTGACCCATGTTGATTTGTTTGTGTTTATGTTTTCATGTAAGCTTAGTGAGTGTAATGGATGTGAGATTTTATGAGTTGTTTAATTTCTGTTTAGAACTTAATGGCAGGTGATGGGTGTGTGGTGTTAAGTTTGGCTGCTGTGTCTGCAATGTGGTTTCGAGGTATGTCTCTGTGTCCAGGTATCCAGAGTAGCTTAATGTTTTCATTTAAGGTTTTGAGTGTGTGAGTTTGATCTATGATGTTTCGTGACTTTGAGTGTTTGTTGTGAATCTATGTGATGGCACTGAGTGAATCAGAGATTATTAGAAAGAGAGTGCTGGAGGGACTGAATTATGTGGATTGCAGTTATAATTGCCAGTATTTCAGTAGTGTTAATGGTGGTGTGGTTTGAATAGTGTAGGTTTGTGGTTATTTGGGGTTTGTCTTGAGCATATGTACCTATTCCTGCAAGGTTTTTTATTAGTTTATTGATGCGTTGGTGTAGATACGGGTGTGTAGAGGGTAGACCTGTTTAATGTGAGAGTTTATGATATTTACTTTTGTGTGGTTTTGGGGAGTTGATGGAGTATGTTTACTTGGGAGGTGTCTGGTTTAATTTGACTTTTTTGATAGTTTTTTTAAGGGTTGTTTTTTTTGTGCTGATTAATTTGTACATGGGGTTATGTTGGGCCCCAGCCCAGTAACTGAGTGTGGTTGATGTTTGATTGAAGGGATGCCATTAAGTAGAAGGAGTGTGTTAAGAGAGGTACCATTCCTAGTCCCCAGGGCTTTAGAGCTGTATTTTGAATACAGTTAAGTTTTTGAAGATTACCTGGTGATAGGTTGTGTAGAACTGGTTGTGTGACGCTGATGGCTCTCATGAGATTTAAGTCTTTTTGACAGGAGTTGACCAAGTTATGAATGTGAGGTGTCCATGTCATGTCTTGGTTAAAGGTTACACCTGGGAATTTGGCTTGGGTTTTGAAGGTAATTTCTTGGTTATTTAGGTGTAGTTTGAGGGTGTAATTTTGCATGCGTTGGGATTAGAATAATATGCCTATGTTTTTTTTAACATTTATCTGGAAACCCCATTTATTCTCCCATTTTTTTATATGATTTATCATTCTTTGGCATTTTACTGGTACTTGGTTTATTGATGTAGAGGAAGTCGGAAAAATGAAATATCATCTGCAAATTTTGCAGTGGAGATATTTTTTTTTTTTTCTTGAATATGTCGTTAATCATGAAGTTGAATAGAATTGGGGACAAGATGCTCCCCTCCCCTTAGGTTTCCCTGATTAAAGGATTGGTACCACCTTGGCTGTTTTCCATATAGTGGGGATGTGGCCTGAGATCCAAAATTTAAGAGATTAAAGCGTGTGAGTGGCTGAGTGGGTTAAGCGGCTGACTTTGTGTGCTGGCGATTAGGTGCCATACTCTGAGGGTGTGGGTTCGAATCCTGGATGGGACTCAACCCAACAAAAGTACTAGAAAGTGTAATCCCAAATATAACATATGTTACATGTGAGTGTTAGGTGTGCATTTTGGGAGTAAGTTTGTTGAGAATAGTGTAGCTGATATTATCTGGACCTGTGGCTGTGTTTTTGTTTTTGAAGGCAGATTTAAGTTCATGTATGTTTATTACTTTGTTGATAGGCAGGTGAGTGAGTGAATGGGGTGTGTGTGTTTTTTTATCGTGTCTTGGAAGTGTGTTGGGTAGTTGGTGGAATCCTCGAAAAGTGGGCAGCCACTGTGTTAGCGTTATCTTTGTGGTTAGTTCAAGGACTGGGGAAATGATTTTTTTTGAATTTCCTTGTACGGCTTTAAATTTATTCCACAGGTGTCGAGAGTATTGTTTATCTAGCCTTAGGGAGGAGCAAAGTTTTTCCAGTGGTCTTTCTTGACTGCCGTGATAATTGTTTAGTTTTCTTTCAGAGTTTTTTGACTAAAGGTATTTTGGAACGGTCCTTTTTTGATTTATTAAGGGCCTTTTTTCTTGCCTTTCTGGCATTTGTAATTTCCATTATAGAGTTAGTATACTGTGAGTTGAATATATTTGTGTCAGTGTTGACAGTGTATGCAGTGTTGCATAGATTTGTAAATTTTACCCAGTCTGCTTTTTTGAGGTTATACAGTTTTATTCTGTTGTAGGTGTGGGGTTGGGTGCTTGCTTGGTTTGTGGTGTTTGTAGGATAATTTTGATGGGGCAGTGGTCACCGCCCCAGGTGTCGTTATGTACCTCCCATGTACAAGTGTTTGAAAGTCTGGTTGTTTTGAATGAGACGTCTATGGCTGTTGGGGATTGGAGGTGGGATGGGGGATATCATGTGGGTTGGTTATCGTTTAGGGAAATTAGGTTTTGTGTGTCTGGCCAGTCTGATAGAAGTTTTCCGTTATTGTCTGTGAGAGGTTTGGTGCTCCAAAGTGGGTGGTGTGTGTTTAGGTCTCTGAGATAGAAGTGTGGGGGGCTTATGAATTTTGAAATAGAATCTAAATCAGAGTTATCAAGATGTATTGAGGGTCTTCTGTAAGCATTTATAATGGTTGTTTCTTGGTTATTTAATTTAGTTTTGATGGCCAGGACTTCTAAATCTTGTGTTGGGATTTTGACAGTTTCGTAATTTAGGGTTTTGAGGATGAAGATGCCCAGGCCCCCGTGGGGGGACCAGGGTTGTTTAGTGGGCAGGGCCTACCCTGCCGAATGAAATTATAGCCTGTAATTATGAAGGCAGATTTTGGTGATAGTTTAGCTTCCTGAAGGTCAATAACTTGGAGTTTAATTTTGTTTTGGGCAATGAGTGCCTTAAGTTCATGCCCGTTAGCCCAGAGACCATTGCAGTTCTACTGTAAGATAGCCATGGTTATGGTAATTTGCAGTAAGAGATTATAAAGGACCATCAGTGGGGCTGGGATTTTGAAGAAGTAAACTGCTAGAGTAGCTTAGAGAGACTGATGTTCAGTTGAAGTTTTTGATGGCGATGAGGAGGCGGGCAGACTTTATGATACAGATTGTTTTTGTGTGCTAGTGAATGTATTTTTTTCACTGAGGGATCCTTCATGAGCGTGACTGTTGGTATGAATTCAATTATTTTGCTGAGATTGTGATGTAGAGCGTGACTTCACTGCTGGCTGAAGCAGTGTTTAGCTTTTTAGTTTTGTGTGGGAGGGGTTTGTTAGTGGTAGTGTTTGGGTGTTGTTTTGTGAGGATGGTGGTGGTAGGTTGTTGGGGGATTGCTGGTTTAGTGGGGGGAGGTGGTGTTTTGGTGCGGGTTTGTTTGGGTGGTATTATGGCAGTAGGGGTAGGAAGGAGAGGTTGCTTGGTAGCTTGGGGCCTGGGACAGGGTTGGTTGTGTGAGGTGGGGCATGTGTTGTAGGTTTAGTGGGGTGAGGGAGGGTGCTGATTGTGGGTGGGTTTTGATGTGTGTGTGTGGGGGGGGGGAGTGAGCTAGATGAGTGCGCTCAACCACCATGTATAGTGTAATAAAGCACACTTTCGCCCTGAACTATTATAGTTAAAGCACGAGGACGCTTGCGGTTTAAATATCTTCTCTAAATTGTTTTAATTACATCTTCAGGGGCAATATGAACGTCGCATTTCTATTACCAACGTAAGTTTAGATCAGTACATCCAGATGAAGCCGAGTAGTCAAGTTACATTCCACGATTGCATTGTGGGAATGTAAACATTGCGAACGTTACCGTGTCGCTGAAAACTTGTGAGTCGAATTGAGACATTTAAAACGTCGGAAAACATAAACGTAATGTTTCCACCAGTGATGTTAGCTGCGTGAAGCAACTGCAAACCAAGAAACGAGATGCAATGGAGCAGTTTACAGTAGGAGGCTGAACGAGGCGATGACAACTGACATGCATCGTGACGTCGTTTACATTGTGACATAATGCAAAACTGTTCGATTGATAGGGGGCAGACTAGAATGGCATTACATTGTGACGTAATGCAAAAAGTGCACATTATCATCTGATAAAGTACTGACGGCGCCCTTAATCTTTCACCGAAGCATCTTAGAAATATGGGTGTTGCCCTAATTAATTTCAAGTCCAGTGTCTGACAATTGGATAGTCAAACTAATGGGAGTAAACCACGTGGTTTGCAGGTTTTAACTGGAGGAGGTGGGCATTGGTATTAGTTGAAGGAGGTGTCAGAGAGGGTGGAAGATGAGTGGGAGAGTAGCAAACGGTAAGCTAGGTGAATTGTGGCTGGTTTAGGCAGGTCAGTGTGTTTTAGGTGTTTGTTAAAGAACCACTAAACTTTGTTTTTTGTTACTCTTTTAACCATTACATATGAAAGATTTGTGGTTAGTCTTATGCGGAACACCAAATTTATTCTTTAAAAACTTGTGGTTAACTAATACCGAGCGATTAAAAGTGGCCAAAAAGTCGCCTGCTTCCCTCTCGCCCGCCAACGAAACCACAGACAGGTTACGTAACTCTGTCGCCAGAGCACTGCAGTGGCGTCATATGAGGAACGATTTTCAGTTAGTTGTATAGAAAATGTGTAGCACGGTCATCATTTTGATGATTTCTCGACATCAACGATGACATGCCGAATCGTTGCTTTGTCGTCAATTGCTCCTAGGGTCGGGCGATGGTGTCCCCAAGCACAGATTTCCACAGGACCCCGCAGTTTCGTGCTAAATCGGGTTATGTTTGTGAGTCTTGGCGAAGCGTTGTGGAAGCCTGAAGCGATATCTTACTTGTGTTCAGATCGCTTCACTGAAGTTAAAGAATCAAAACTACTTACTAGTTGTTGTAAAATATGCATATGATTGATGACCATAAAGATTTTCTATGACACAACTTGTAACATAACGATTTCTTCCTCGGAAGTGAGGTTGTGGTCGAAGTAACAATAATATTGTAAGTAGTATTATATTGACACCCACCTCGCTGCCACGAGAGAAATTGTTATGTTATACGCGATGTCATGCAAAATCCTATTGGCCATCAATAAAATACATATTTTACTACCAGTAGAAAGTAGTTTTGATTTTGTAACTCGGTGAAAACAAACCTAAATACCATTTATCCTCAGACTGGCGGATGTTCCCGATAGGGCGCCGCCATTTTTAAAAATAAAAAAAAAAGTTAGAATTAATGAGATTATAGTTTGTTTTCATCAAGTTAGATAATCAAGACTACTTTCTACTCGTAGTTAAATATGTATTGGAATCATAACCAAACGGATTTTGCATGACACAACTTATAACATAACGATTTCTTCCACGGAAGCCGAGGTGGGGGTCGAAGTCACAATACTGCGCTGATAAATTTCTTGCTACATTCCATGGTTAATGTCCACTCACCAGTATGTAGATACTAGTCAATGTGCGTCTTTATATTTGGTCTTATAATCCTAATTAGTTTATTATCATATTTGTATGCATTTTGAAACTAAATTTAAAGCAGACGATCTGCTGATACTTATAGTGAATTTATAACAGAACTGTAATATCTAGACATTTTATAGTTTGCCAATATGAATCATAATTCGTACACACACCCTAGTGCATGTTGTCTGACTCATTACACTTCACGGCGAAAACAATGATTCTGTTGAATGCTACGACAAATGAATAAAATCAAAATGCAAATATTAAAATTAAAACACATTAAAGTTACAGGAACAATATCAGGCCATTACCTTGTTCGAGGAATGTATCCATCAATATCCACAAAACTGTTCCAAATGATGTGTCTTTTAACAGTTTAATATACGAAAAAGTGATAAATCTTTTCAGGTATTGGTGTATAGTCTCATTGGTCACCCAAGATAGCACACCTGGCAACTAATTGCATAATGTCCGCCTTTCTTTAAAAACAGTAATTTAGTTAGCCAATAATGGACAATCAATCAATGTATTGCCGGTTAATCCTTTGAAAGAAGGACGTTGTTTTTACGCAGACACCGACACGACAGAGTGTATTCAGTATAGATTAGTAAATCTACATACATAAACACTACCTTTTGACAATTCCGCTGTGTAAGATAAAAGTAATTAATCAATCAGCGTGTTATCGGTTAATCCTTTGATCGATGTTTATAATGTTGAATATTTACTCCAGACACAAGAAATGCCAAATGGGAACCTTTGTCGGGTAATCTAAGTGTGTTACCACTAATTATACCTGTTATAAATTCATTAACTGACCATCAAGTGAATGATGACAAATAACATGTGTAGGTTTATACCACCTAACACGGGTTACAACAAGGGAGTGCTAATTGCTGTATTGCATGTGAAAACTTATTGGCCGACACTGTTTTGAGAATACAAACAGATTTTTACATGACATGATTAAATATCGAGGTAAAAAAACACAGAAATGGGATCGATTTGGATCAGTCATTATACAAATAGGGCCTAACGACACCAATCGATTTTGACAGAATCGTCTATGAAAACAAGTTGTAACTCGGAAACTAGGCAAAGCAGGAGACAAAATTAAATGACAGTAGATTGTGAGAACATATAGCTTTTATTTTCCACAACAATTGTCACGATTTCAGGTTTATACAAGTCTGTAAACAAGATAATTTAACCCCTAAAATGTAGATGAATTCTGCATCGGCCCTCAAAGCTATTCCTCATATGACGTCACAGAGGCGCGTCGCTCTGATTGGTTGAAATTTCGTTCGCGGGTGAGAATTGTGCACTGTTGTCAAAAAGGTCGATTGAAGTCAATTAAAGGTCGAAATGAGTAGTTTTAATGACGGGGTTTCATTTATAACGATGCCAGTTAGTGATTTATGTATTTGTACCCCCTAGGGTTTATGTGACCTTTAAGTTTTAAGATATGTTTTTGTTTTATAGGGCAAGTGTTCTGATTTGCTGTATGTCCTTGTGTTTCACAGTATATGCAGTATGTTGTCCAGGTGCTTTCGTGTATGTTGTGAGTCTCTGACCCTCATCTTGGACAGCGTGGAAGAGATTTGCATGTGTCTGAGTTGTGAGTGTAACAGAAAAAGTGCTTGCATTGGGTAGGGTTTTTGCGTATGGGGTGTACTTCGTAATTTAGCGCTCCAAATGTAATGTAGTTGGGTAGTTGACTTGAATGTAAGGAAAGGTAGATAGGATGTTTGGTTTGTTGGTTGTGGGTTGTTTGTTGTTAATCGTTTTGAAGTCTGTTATTTTGGGTAGGATAGGGATGGTGTTGGCGATGTGTATGTATTCTTGTACGTCTGTGTTTCCCTGCTGTCTATGTGTCTGCCAACCGGGTATTTCCCATTTGATGTTTGGTCCGTCTATCATTGTGTGTTTTAGTGTGTTGTTGAGTGAGAGTTGATCTGTAAATGTCACTTTGAAGCCTCTTCCACAATTATTGATGTATTTGCATTGTATGTGTTGTTTTTTGAGGCAGAGTGCAAATTTGTTGGTGGAATATGTGTGCTGTTTGCATGGGAGGTAGGACTGATTCAAGGTCTAAGCCAAAGTCGATGGGTATTGGGTTGGTATTGTGGGGGAAGGTGAGTTGGGGGAATTCTTTGTTGGGGGAAAATAGAGGGTACAAATGGCGTAGCCAGAGTAAGGTGTCCGCAAGACGTTTGCTGTACATGCATCCAACTCATGAGTGAAATCGAAAAAAATGTGTATAACGCATGCACTATGCATGGATTTATGCACTATACAAATGGACTGTAATATTCTTGATGTTTTGAGTCAGTATTCATTTTATTTTTGGGTACTACACCCAGTTATAGTTTAACTAGTTATTATCAACTGGATAAAATAGGTCTAAATCACTGTTGCTCACCACATTCAATCAAAGTGAGTAAAATGTTGTAGAGAAATCTTAAACCACTACATGAGATGAGTGTGGCTGTTCATTGCAACAAGTAAACAATGTGTCAACACATATATGACCAATATGTTAACAGAGGAGGAAATCTGCCTAAACTACACATAAGTACTGTCAACTTTTGCTTGACTCTAACTCCTGAATGCTCTTTCCTAATGTACCACCAAATCTATGGCCTAATATTTATCAAATTCATTGATGATATCAAGTCAGGACTCTTCACAGAGATTATCTGAAATGGATTTGTAAAAACTGAAAGGATTTACTTGAATTTTTGTAATCTCTGAAAATTATTGTGTCAAATTATGTCAAAACACTTTGTATTTTAATTTCATTTGTAAATGAAAGCAAACATCATTTGAAGTTTACAGAGGAAGTAATATCTGTTGTGTGGGGTGTTCTCATTATGTGAAATTTTGAGACAGGAGTTATATGCAAGAGGTAGGCATTGTCATTTGCACCTGTCCTTCCTCATCTGTTTCTTTAGGCATATGAGTCAGTAAACGGGGCTATTTGGCCATAAAATAGGTAGATTACCTCTGAGAGAATACAGAGAAAATAGTCAAATCTCTTTCATTGATTTACTCACGCATTAAATGATCACACATGTTTCATACTTAGATGTGTGCATAAACATTCAGAGTGACGGAAAAATATTCACAAGGCAATAGCTTTTCTTCTCTGCATGTCCCGCAATATTTCAGCAGGTCTACCTGTCACACCAGTTGAGGTACAATCAAGCATGTTCTTTCTTGTAAGATTATTTCATGCAACTCTTATTCAGAAGATGTCTGATAAAAAAATACAAATCTCACTAAACTTCCAAAAGAAATGTGAATACTACACATGTTGGTTAATATATGAAAAATGACATATATACCAGAGATATTTGATTGGTTTGATAAACAAATGGACCTGCTGGTATGTTGTGTGAAGTAATTTTTCATGAATGCAATATCTGCAACTTCTATTTGAAACAAATAACATCAATGACAGAGCTTAGTGGGGTTGTCCTCGGCGTCATACCAACAGGATGAACATATCGGTTCTTACAGGCAGTCAGCACACCAAGAAACTCTTGCAACTCACAACATGTCAATAAGTCCAAAACCATTTCATCCTGTCTCACCTATGCACATTTTCATTGCTGTTGACTCTATGTTGGGGTTGAACTGACTCCATACCACTACTGTGCTCAGCAATAACAATAACTCAAAAAAAAGTTATGTAAATTCACGAAAATATAAGATTTGTCATGGACTTAACTTGCCTTCCACAAATGTTTGCAGTGCTTCTTGATGTTCATTTTTGATTCCTTTTCAAACAGTTGTCCAACAAGTGGTCCAAATCGTGTTCCCCGTGGGATAAAGTCCACACTCCAAACACCAAGCTCCTACAAGAAAAGTTAGGATTATTAAGTATAAAACATATATCAAAAACGAATTGCGTAAAGTAGCCAATTTGAGATTTTATGGATATGTACACTTTGTCCATATGTATCTCCATAGCAGAGTATCTCCATATAAGTCATCTCCTGACTCCCATGTGCAGTTTATCAGAATTAAGACATTCTTTCCTTTGACTTAAAGACATATCACCAATATCTGACACTTGGAGGCCTGGCCTGTGCCCAAAGTGAAATACATCAATGGAAATGACAAATACGCCAATGTTTTTGTTAAAGGGGGTGGTGATGTAGCTGTGTTGTTAAAGTGTTTGATCATCACACCAAGGACCCAGGTTTGATACCTCACATGGGTACAATGTGGAACAGTTTTGGTTCACATTTTTTCAGCATTTCAAGTATTTACCTAGTAGTTTCACATCCCTAACAGCATAGATTGTACACAATGTGAATTAGTTCAAGTTTAAAGTTTGTGTTTTCCTTACAACAGGGACAGTGGGGTAGCCTAGTGGTATAAGCATTTACTTGTCATGCTAAAGATCCGGGTTCGATTCCCCACATAGGTACAATGTGTGAAGCCTATTTCTGGTGTCATACCTGAGTTTTCAAATTAAATAACCACTATGGTGAATCAATTTTTTTAAACAAACTGCAGAAAGATGCATTTTAGTGAAAAATGCAAACATCCTTTACTCATCAGTGTGTGTGCATGTAATAATATATATGTAAAAGGTTAACTCCATTTCGTATACTTTTCAAAACACAAGGGGAGGGAACCTTATCTAGATGAGTGGTCAGTGTGAGTACGGACTGTAACCATACATTTGTCATCAAGCAGAAGACGTTTTTTCTTGTGATGAAAACCTAAATAATAATGGTAGACAGAAACAACAATGTTCATACATTTGGATTAATTGCAGATGGTTTGAGAGTTAGATTTCTTGGAAGAGATGCTTGAGCTCTGTTTGGACCAACAACACTATCACATGGCCGGTCATGGACGATGTATACACAGAACTCCTCCAACTCCTCTTCCCTCAGACTGGTCAGCTCCCAGGGCTCTTCCATGCTTCCTCCTGACACACTGTAACCTGCAGCCAAAATCATTGGATGACAATGAACCAATGCAAGAAAAATGTTTCAATTGTTTTAGAAATTTTGCATTGTATTTCTTATGCCATATATAGTGATAAATATTGTACATGTAAAAATGCTGGAACAATAAAGCATCCCAGGCACAGATCAGAGAAATGAGCTGAAAACACCTGAAAGATCAATAAGTAGGATGTGTTTACTCAGTCCTCATGTAAAGCAAAGGACTTTTCTGCATAGACCTAAAGCATTTCATACAGTATTCCCAGAAATTATTGAGAAAGTTGTTTTGGCAACTATCTAATATATGTATATAAACTATAGAAGTTTTACTTAAATGAGACCTCCTTGTTCTGCAATACACGACTGAATACATCTGACTGACTGACTGACTGACTGAGTTTAGTTTTACACCGCTTTTAGCAATATTCCAGCAATATCACGGCAGGGGACACCAGAAATAGGCTTCACACATTGTGCCCATGTGGGGAATCGAACCCGGGTCTTCGGCGTCTGAATACATCTAGGTACACTAGGTACCGATCAAAGTTTGTAGGAAATCGTGTGACAGTGTATCCCAAAATACGACCACTTCTCTCTTCATATCCTCAATATTCCCTTTTGGTTTATTCTGTCCTTCATTAGTCCCCACATATTCTCAAAAGGGTTAAGATCTGGGCTGTAGCTGGGCCAGTCTAAAACTTGAACATTTTCTTCTGACAACCACTGTTTTGTGTAGCCCGCAGTGTATTTTGAGTCGTTATCCTCCAATTATCTTCATTCAGTGTTCGGGCTGTTGGAAGGAGGTGATCATTTAAGATGTCAACATATCGTTCCTTTGTCAAAGTTCCAGTGAAAATACACAACAGCATCACTCCAGGTGATGATATCCCACCCAACATGTGAAATTTCAGGCTGTGTTTTGGGCATTGGTAGATAGGTTTCACGTTATCTTTTGTCCAAATTTTTAGACACAGTTCGGAAAAAGCCAGACAAAACTTTCATCAGAAAAGAAACATTATCCCAATTTTGATTTTCGTGAGCCCTACACCAGTTCAAACATCTTTCTTTTTGTGCATCTTTCATCAATGGTGAGGGACTTTTTAATTTTCCCCTTCCACAATCTGACCAAGTCACTGGCGATCTGTAGTACTGAACTTCCTCGGCCTCCATGCCCCTGTCTCAGTGCTCAATCCCAACTCCTGACTGAATATTCTTCAAAGTTCTGTATACTGTAGACACAGGAATGTCATGTCTACCAGCTAGCTCTTTTGTATTAGTCACACCTCTTTCAAAATCATCTAGAACCGGCTTTATTTTCTCTTCTGCTGTCAAATCTGCCAATCAACAAAGGAAGTTTTCTGGTACACCAGGGGAGATAACTCTTGATGTAGTCAAGTTCATTTTTAAGCCTACAAGAGTTGCCTCCCATATTGAGTACCTTACAATGTAACTATTATTTTAAGATTCTATTATCAGTACAAGTGTAGAAGTGAGCACAGCTCACATACCCCCGCTTCCCACTTTTGGACATGGAAATGACTGATATTGATATATATATATAATGTGACAAGGAACAGCAGCTCACAAGACTTTCTCCTTGACTCTACTTAACGTTATATACATGTTAGATAATAGTTTTGCCATGTACTGATTACAGTAATAATTTATGGAAACATTATTTTTTTTTTTTTTCCGTGGAAACCTGACATACAACTGAACTTGACTGTCTCATGTTGCACACAATGAAGTGGACGTTGGTGAAGATTGTTACTGACTCTCATGTTGCATACAATGAAGTGGACGTTGGTGAAGAATGTTACTGACTCTCATGTTGGACACATTTAAAATTTAAAATAGCAAAAGGCACATCAATGGGTAATGATTAACATGTGTCTGAAGTTTGGTGACCCTAGCATGTAAACTATAAGAGATATGCTCCGGACAAAGTTTCAGGACGGACGGACGGACAGAATGAATGCTATATACCCCCGTTACTTCGTAGCAGGGGTATAATTAGGAAAACTGTATATGCAGTATATATATACATGCAAAAGAGCATCACAACACCTATCATTTTAACCCCCAATATAGCCCTTTATATTCATGGCATATTTATGTTTGTTTGTATGATCATACCATACATAGAGTTAAGATATGCATGTGCTAAGATCAAAGGCAAGCATGACATGCAGTATATGTACCTATCATTAAGGATACAGCCCTTTTCAGAATGGCAAAACTTAATCTGTTCTTGACAAGTGAAGTGTCAAAAACAGAATGGCTTCCACGTCATTGTTTGATCTGAAATCATGTTTAGCACTGAGGAAACACTGCATATGCCGAATGGAATAACTTGGAGCATTCTTAGGATTCTTAAGGTAATGGAACAATCTCTCTATCAAGAATTTAATGCATCAAATTCAACGTCTGATACAGTCATTGAAGAGGATCAGAGGTATTATTGTAGTTACACCAGAGGTTACACCAGATATTGATATGCACTGTCCTCAGTTATTTATACTGATATTCATATTGCCTGTATATGCTGTATAGTGAAACAGGATGTGTTGTATGACGTATATTCTTACTGATATTCATATTGCCTGTATGCTCTGTATGGTGAAACAGGATGTGTTGTATGACGTATATTCTTACTGATATTCATATTGCCTGTATATTCTGTATGGTGAAACAGGATGTGTTGTTTGACGTATATTCTTACTGATATTCATATTGCCTGTATATGCTGTATGGTGAAACAGGATATGTTGTATGACGTATATTCTTACTGATATTCATATTGCCTGTATGCTCTGTATGGTTAAACAGGATGTGTTGTATGACATATATTCTTACTGATATTCATATTGGTTGTATATGCTGTATGTGAAACAGGATATGTTTATGACAATATTCTTACTGATATTCATATTGCTTGTATATGCTGTATGGTGAAACAGGATGTGTTGTATGACGTATATTCTTACTGATATTCATACTGCTTGTATATGCTGTATGGTGAAACAGGATATGTTTATGACGTATATTCTTACTGATATTCATATTGCTTGTATATGCTGTATGGTGAAACAGGATATGTTGTATGACGTATATTCTTACTGATATTCATATTGCCTGTATATTCTGTATGGTGAAACAGGATATGTTGTATGACGTATATTCTTACTGATATTCATATTGCTTGTATATGCTGTATGGTGAAACAGGATGTGTTGTATGACGTATATTCTTACTGATATTCATATTGCCTGTATATGCTGTATGGTGAAACAGGATGTGTTGTATGACGTATATTCTTACTGATATTCGTATTGCTTGTATATGCTGTATGGTGAAACAGAACATATGATGAAACCTGAAATACATGATGAAACATGTTGTGTTGTTTGTTTGAATCAGGTATCTGATTATATGCTGTATGGTAAAACATGACATTATGAATGGTGAAACAGGAGAATTTGCTTCATGAATCAGGATGTCTTATATTCAGATTCTTACATCTGTATTTAGTATAAAGGCCACACTGTATACCATCTCTTCCACAGGTGTGAAAATGTAATACACTGAAGCATACATAAAATCCCTGTTATTGGCATGTTTAAATAGTGAGATCTTTGAGGCCAATGGAAAACTAACAAACCCTTATATGTTGGAAAATTAAAACAAAGAAATGTTTTTATAGCACTCTAATTAGTGTTGATTGTATTTATGTTTTTTCATTGTTGTATATCAATTAAGGCTTGATTACTTTGATATTGCAAGTGAACATTTGGTAGATATAGAACATATTTTTACTTATTTTAACAATAACATTAGTTTAGTTACATGGTGATAGTACTTGTATATCATTCTTGGCTGCTGTATGTTAAAATGTGTTTAATCAGTGTGGATTATGTCATATAGTGGTGGATCTCGAGTATACAGAATGGGTTCATTTGAGGTATTTTACATACGTTGTCTCCATGACCAATCACTATCATCTGAATAGACAAAAGTTGCATAAAATGGGTTGAAGACTCTATATATTTGCCATCTCTGTTTTTCAAACATATACTGCTATGATGATGTTAAACTGGGTATAGTATGACCAGAAATTATTGAAAATTTTAGGAATATGTTTAATTGGATTTCTAGTATAAACAACCTTGATTGATCAGCTATCAAGTGCTTGGTTTCATTCAAGAGAGACAACTCTGTTAATCCTTTTTCATTAGTTTGTGAAGAGGTATCCCCCTTTGTTTACTTGCTAGCAGACGACATTTTCAGTGATCCTCAGTATGGATGATTTAGAGAAGGGGAAGTTGATTTTAGAGTATTATAACAAGGACATCAGATCAGCTAAAGTGATTTCAAGTAGAACAGGCATCCCTTTGTCCACTGTTTATCGTGTTTTGAAAAATATTGCAAATGGATATGGAAATTGAGCACCAGGGAGGCGCAGGTAGGCCCAGAAAATTGACTGTCGGTGACAGGAGGCGGCTTGGTATTCTTGTTACTAAAAACAAACGAAGGAGTTTAGAAAATGTAAGGCTGGATATGATTGATAGAGGAACTGTGGCTGTCTGTGAGGAGACAATTAGAACTGAGCTGCATGCATTGGGTTGGAAGAAAAGTCGAGGAATTCCATCACCGATCATGAAACCTGAACAAAAGAAGCTAGATTGAACTGGTGCTTACAGCATAGAAATTTTAAGTGGTACAATGTGATTTTCTCAGATGAAAGTTCTGTGTGGCTGTTTCCTAATACACTGAAATTCTGGACCAAACAAACTGAAAAACCTTTGTATCAGCGCCCAAAGTACAGACCGAAATTTAACATGTGGGATGGCATATCTGTGTTAGGGGCAACGCCCCTCTGTGTATTTGAAGGGAATATGAACAGTGAGTGGTACACAGATATTTTTGAGGGACATTTACTTCCATCTGCTCATGTGTTCTATGGAAATTTTTGGATTTCCAGCAGGACAACGACCCAAAACATCGTTCAAAGCATTCACAGGCCTGATTTCGGACCCAAAATATGACATTATTACATTGGCCAAGCTATAGCCCTGACCTAAATCCAATAGAAAATGTTTAGGGACTTATGAAAGAAAGTGTCAATAAGAAAAATCTGACAAATATTGCTGAAATGAAAGAAGAGGTGGTCCGATATTGGGACAGCATGGACCACGACTTTCTAACTTCTTTGATCAGCAGTATGTCCCGCCGCATTAAAGCCTGCATTGCTGCCAATGGTGACTTGACAAAATACTAACTGTTCACCTGTCTTTGAATCTGGAGTTATGTTCTGGTAATATTCACATTTAATACGTGAGTAATGAATGAAAAAAATATAAAAAATTACAATCTTAAATTCTCAATAATTTCTGGTTGTACTGTTATTTTTCACTGCTGATGTAGAACATATTTCTTTGCTATTTAGATTTGTATTTCTAGTCAGAAGAATGAGACTTTTTTTACCCATCTAGTTTTATATATATCTCCAAACATTCACAAACTTCTATACCTATTTGATGTTAATGAACCTTAACTTCTCAAATTCTGTTTCCAAGAGTGATACAAGTCTTGGGGTTTGCGGGTGGTAAATGACTTACTAGTGTAATCCTAAACATTAAAACAGTTATGTCTGATCTCAGATCTCAAAAACTATTATGCCTGTCTTTACAATAATTTCTGGCATATGTGGATGCATGGGCAGGCATGGGTACACCAATGAGTGTGTGCATGCAACTGAGCTGGGGAATGCTTGCTTGCATGCACAAGCAAGACCATAGTCTGTTTGGGTTAAAATGAGAACAACAAATGATTAAATAACTTGAAATTGGGATAAGTGCACAAAACATAAATAAGACACATGGTCCTAAAAACCTCTGGACACAACAGGATCTGAAATCTGGCGTTTTATGATCGATCATGGGAAAAGTTGTTTAAAAAACTATCATGTAATATTGTGCTATTTTCATGCTTCACACCAGGGGGTGACAAATGGCTGATGGAACAGTGCCTGACAAGCTGGGATCATTTCACCTGGCTGTGCTGGGTTGCACCTTAATGTGTGCTGGTGCTGTTCCACCAGCTGTTTGTCACCCCTCAGTGTGAAGGGTGAAAATAGCACAATATTACATGATGGTTTCTTAAACAACTTTTTCCGTCATCGATCATAAAATGTCAGATTTCAGATCCTGTTGGGTACAGAGATTTGTGTCTTATTTATGTTTGGTGCACTTATCCCTATTTCGAGATATTTAATCATTCATAGTTCCCATTTGACTGACTGACTGAGTTTTGGTTTTACGCCGCTTTTAGCAATATTCCAGCAACATCACGGCGGGGGACACCAGAAATGGGCTTCACACATTGTACCCATGTGGGGATTCGAACCCGGGTCTTCGGCGTGATGAGCCAACGCTTTAACCACTAGGCTACCCCACCGCCCCAGTTCCCATTTGAACCCAAACAGACTATAATAGTAGTTTCATACAGGTAACCTTCCGAGATTCCAAACTGCAGTTTCCATATTAATACCCCACTCAGACTGTATGCTGACCACTTGAACAGGCCTTGTTTTATCCCCTCAATGCTATTCACAAGGCAGACTCTCAACACATAAAATCTTTAAAGACCTATTGGTTGATGGACCCAGGGATTGAACACCATTCCTCTACTCACTAGGCAACACTAAATGTGCTAGGCCACAGGGTCTGAATGTTGTTGGTTAGGTAGAAACATCAAACAAAATGACATGCTCAGGGTATTTTTTAATTATGTGGAGCTTTAACAGTCATGCAATAATTATTAAAATAGAAAGCAGTAAAACAATGGAAGTAAAAAATAGTCATAAACAGCAAACGGTTTATCTCTACCAGTTATCAAACAGATCCTTCCTGAGTTCTTGGGCTGATAAAATGAGCTTACAACTTGCCCATTTCATGTATTACATGGTCCAATACACAGCATAACGAGAAACATGGGAGTTATCAGGATGCAAATCACACAATTTCATACAATGCCTAAACTTTCAGCATTATTTATAACCAATCTGCTACATTAGCATTGAAAAGTATATGAATACTTAAAACACATCTTTCAATTTTTTGCATTTCATTATCAAAGATTTATAAACAAGAAACAATGATTGGTATAGTCATCATAGTCAGCTTACTGGCTCCCTGAATCAAACCACTCACTTCACATGCTTCACTGAGAATGTTCATAATCTGCAAGTTCATATATCACAATGTAAAAGTAAATTCATTATCAACAAGTGGTTATCCATGTATTGGTAAGAATGTCTGTGGCTTTACATTACACTTTAGGTAGTATATAGAAAATGAAAGGCTCCAGTTCTGATACACAAAATGCCTTTTGGCTGTTATGTCATTTGATCATAGATGTTACACACTGAAACTGGTTTAAATTCATCCACCACTCCAAACACCAAAATCCATCAATATATGTAGCATAGATTTCATCAATAAACTACCTTCATCAATAGATGGACCTTGGACCAGATCAATATTGATTGCTTTGATTGACTTTCAAACTTTATCATTTTAGTTGTTTACTTTAAACTGATAACTTTTCAAGAACAGTCACAATCCATTGATCATGCTGTTACATTAAAAATTTGTTTGAAACCATCAGTATGATATCTGGCAAAGTTATCACCCAGAAATCAACTTCATTAACTCATTTGGTTGACTTATAAAATGATCTTTCATTTTCAAGGATTTATTGAAATACATTCAAATTCCAGCAACATTTCTAATTAAGAAACAAAAGATATTGCTGGTTATCAAACATTACCAATCTTTTATGAAGCTGAAAGTCTAAATAGCCTTATTTAAACATTGCCATTTATGGTAGTCATTGAAAATGTCTATTTATAACTCAGTGGGCGAATGGGTTTGGTTTATTGCCACGGTGAAGTGTAGTTTCAGTTTAATCCTGCATGTCAACATAGTGTGGGAGGAAACCTCAAAGCATGGGTATTGTACTGACACATGCAACATATACAGTAATACACGTTGGTTTTCTGCATATTTGTATCTTTGACCTGCTGTGTTTTGCCTGGTTTCGTAGGATTTTCCACATTTCTAAAAAACACAAGGCATGTGGAGCTGAAAATTTGCATGAATTATCAAGTATTAATGTCTGTTGGTAGGTAGTCAGGCTCTGTGACATATAGCTGATTGCATGTCACTGCTTTCTCTGGTCAGTGCTCCATTAATGGCACAACTGCTGCGATAGAGATGGACTATTTTAGACAGTGGTATTCATTTATTTGGCACTTCAACCATCATCAGTAAAACATTTTCGCCAAAATCAGTTATGGCAGCCTTATTGAAAATGTCATTTTAGCCCATTTACTCATGATCATGAAACTGATGTGTAATAAATATGTGGTAAGCAGAAAACCTTTTGAGTATTTTTATTTTGTTACACTATTATGTCCTTTGACCTTCACATCAAGTTATAGTGCACTTTCAACATTCCTTGATTCATGATGCTGTATATATTAGCATATGACTTTGCCAGTTGTGTCCATAAAACTAACACACAGAAATCTGATCAAAAATGGGCACTGTAGCAGAAAGTATCATTTATGGTCATATTTGTGATATTTCATGTGCAGTAAGTATTATTCTTTTTTCAACATATCACTTTATCACTGTACTCAACTAGTTATGCATCTGTGTAATATAATGTTCACATGGTCAGGATTTTGCTGGTAGTTCTGTGTACCCTTGTAGGGATCTGAAGTAATACATTATTAAATTCATTTGTGCTTTTTAATATTCATTGTTTGAAATGATGTACACATTTTTTCACTCAGCCATATTCCAGTTACAATTATTATTGATATTAATAAAAAATATAGCCTACAAATTATTAACCTGCACATCGTCATCTAATATTTAGCATTAAATTTTTACTATTTCTTCAGCATTATTGTTATTTTCACTAGAAAACCTGTATAATGGGTCAGTGATCTACGGGATAATTGAAAAGAATTACGCTAACATAAAATTTTCTGTGAGTTGTAGTGGCATAAGAATGTGTGATGGGGTCTTGGATATCTTTTTCTGGTTTGGCACTTATTACTGTTTTGCATTTTTAAAATACATTTTCACTCAGGTGAGCTAAGCCTGCAAGACTAGACAATGGGGGATGCACATACAAGATGACAGACAATTTTCTACAACATTTTCAAAAATCACAAAATCCACCCCACCCACCAGCCACAGTGGTGGCAAATATCAGGTGACAATTCTCACAAACAGCAAAAATATCACATGCCCTATTATTTATCATACCACATTATGTCTGTGTTTTAACTTTCATGCTGACACTTGCATACTTGGTTTGAGCAAAATATACATTTTCAGTATGACAGAATTGACTTAAGCATAAAATGCAGATAAAAGTTTGCTTTGAAACCAGCCCCTATTCATATAATCAGTAATTTTTAATACATAACAGTAGTTTCAAATAAGCTGTTGAAAATACAGTAGCTCATAGTTGGTCAAATATCAAAATGTGATGTTGACATCTTCATCTTCTAAGAAGCAAATAGAACAGTGAGATGAAGCATAATAATGACAGTAAGGATACTTTCAAGTCTGTCAGAATTGAATGGTATTCAGTTCATCTCAACTATTGTAGACCTAGTAAACTGTAAAACAAGCTGTTAAGAAGATCAGTCATGTGAAAAAAAAGTACTGTTTTGATCAAGAATCGGAAAATCCAGCTGATGTTTCAAATGATGATCAACAGTTTAGTTTCACAGAAGTTTCCAGAATGAAACATGAAAATAAACATTGAAAGGAGGTAGCGTGGCCATGAAATGACCCGTTTAAAAAAACTAAGCCTGACCAAACTGAACTGAACATGCTAAAAAAACAAGGAAGGTAGAAATAAAATATAATGAATGTGATTGAAAGGCTACAATTTAATTCATAACTACTTTTGAATAAATAATCACAAGACCTATATGTTAGATGTATTAAACATTGATGGCCACTCTTTGAAGAGTTACAGACAAATTCATTTGAAATAAGATCTTCCCACTGAGCAAGAAATAAATACGTAACGATATAGCTCCCTATGGACAGTGCCATTATTGCATTGACATAACCAGCTATCAAACAGTGTATTATGAGCCTGCCCAGTGAAGCCTGGCAAGGACAGTTACAATCAGTGTGCAGCTTCCTCTACTGCAGTCCCAATCCCAGCCTATCAATTATGTACTTCCTGCACTCACTGAAGCCTTTTCTACCTGTTGTCTTACACTTTCCATATGCCACAAGATGATCCACATGTTCATTATTTTGATATCATTATCAATTTACACATGACATTATTTGGTGCATTATTCAATATTTTGTCTTGGATATTCTTCCAGAAAAATTAAATTGTTAGGTAATCTTAAAGCAGAGTTCCCCAAAGTATAGAACAAATTTTGACTGTGAAATCTAACACAAGTTAAAGATTAAGAAATACCTGTAAATGTGCTGGTTGTTTTAGCTGGAGTCTGGCTGATCATTGATGCTGGGACATTTGTTCACTATGTATAGTGATGACTGAGCCAGACCTTAAAACCACATCAGCCCTAAAAGGCAGGTAAAAATGTCTTACTTCTTCTCATTTGAAACTACCAGTGGCCTCTAGTCATATAATCTAACATCTTCCCCCATATCATAAAGCAAACTGAACTTTGTAACACTCAATTTCCCTGTGTCTGTTGACAATTCAATGGAGTTTTCACTAGCATACTGGCAGAGATAAGATAGTGTATCAATTAGCAAGACGGACCTGTCTGGCTGTGCACCTGGACATATGGGTTGGGGTGGGGGAAGAGGTGGGGGAAGAGGTGAGAGGAGGGGTGGATAAAAGGATACAAAGGGGTTAAGTGGTTGCATTCTGAAAATATCACAGCCACATGGGAATAAATAAACAAGAGAATATCAGTTCTTGAAATTGCAATTTTGTATTAATAAGGACAACAAATTTCCAAATAGTATGTTCATAACAATACACTGTGTGATAGTGCTGTCATTGATCTAATGGGCAATCTCCTAAAACATTCTGAGAGACTGCCAGACACAATTGAATATTATGCTTCTGATGGGAGTAATATATAGTCAGTAAACACACATTCTGTTTTGAAATTATTATCAAGCCTGTGCTCTTAATTGTTGTAGTTTTATTGTTAGAAAGTTATTTAAAGTGTTCTTGTTGGGTATCAATTGTGTTTATTCAAATGATTAGGTGTGAACAATGAAAGTGATAATTACTGTATCAAAGCAAAGTAGCCAAATACAATGGCCTTAATGTCACCCACTAGAATACTCACCCCAAACCAAACATATACAGTTGCCTCTTAGTCAGAAACACATGCACAATATTTTCCGATGACATTATTGGGGTTCCGTTGCAGTATGTATAGGTCATAAGGATGACATACCATAGGTCACAGTGAAAGTATGGTGGCTCTGGATTGATGATGAGATGATTTACAATATACTGCAAAACTAAAATAAATTAACATTTTTAATGTAACCTAATGAAACATAATTTAATCTTTTACCTGTCCACTCTGACAGCTAGAAAAGTATTAAAAATGATGCTGGCTATTTTTGGCTCACCCACATATTTAATACTGGATACCCCACTCCGACAGATCATTCTGACCGCAAACCCTGTAGTGGTTGCTTTATCTCCTTTCTGCAATTATTCCTGCACATCGGAATTCAGTTTCTAATGAAATTGATGACATTTCAACTTCATGTGCTTTTGTACAAGATACATAACATGAGAAATAGTTAATTTCTACCCATCCAATCAACACTCATTCAATAAAGGTGAAATGTTCTGCTGTCAAGAATTAACAAGTGTTAGTGTTATTGTTCATATGCATCTGGCAATGATAAGGCCATGGAATAGGTCAGAGTCAGAGGGAGAAAGCATGAGCACCTATGTTCACATAGATGTGTCATCAGTTAAAAAGTTTGTATGAATGATGCAACAAATATGTCTTGTTTTAAAGATGCCTTGTATTACATTGGTATTTGTTCCAGACTTGAGGGTGATGAAATTAAGTGGAAAATCTATAACTGTGTAGTTAGTCTTGCTTAGGAAATAACCAAACCAGAAGTGATGTCATCCAACCAGATGTGCTTACATGTAATTTTGTCACTAAAGTGGTTGGTGGTAATTACCAGGTTGTCCTGTTTGGACACATGGGACTTTTTATCTTTAAATGCTCTTAATGTTGATTGTATGATAACTATTGGTACAAGACTTTCTGTTTCAAAGTTGTTGGGCATGGAGAGGCGTATTTCCTGAACCTAAAGTGTTGTTTGCTAACCTAACATGATGATAGTTTTCTTTCGATAGATTCATCATATTACTTAAATTACTATTTCCAGCCTGTACTGCATCATGGACATACCAGTAATGACCAATCAGAAGTGATGCCATTAAACCTGAAGTGTTCATAATTTTGTCACAAACATATCTAAGGTCACAGTTTTGAAAACAGCATTCAGGGCAATGGGGATGTGGCTGCTTCTGATTTTTGCAAATGCCTTTGTTCTTGGATGCTAATAATTACTTATTCTACTGCCACAGCACTAAAGCTCCCCTGGATATCTAGTGAATGGTTTAGATTGTTAACAAATACTACTGCCTCAGAAAAGTTTCTATCCCAGCATCGATTTGAAAAGTAAGGATTGAGAACCAGCACTCAAATCGTCATGATCTGAACAAGAAAAGAAATTATCATTAAAAGAAATACATATGTCCAAGTCCAGGTTCCTCAATTTGGGAATTCCAGAGCAGATGTAATCCCAAATATAACATATGTTGCAGATGTATACAGAGCCACACATGGATTTTCAGAAAAGTCAAAACAAAACAAAAAATTGCATTTTGCAAAAATCAGAGAATATGTCCCACTTTGGCAGTGATATTGGCATCTCTTAAACAGATTGGAGTGTTTATTTGTGGGATAGTGTTCCAAGTACACAGATGAAATCAAGGTAAAATGTTCCAAACAATACAATATACATGCTGAGTTCTGCTCAAACTTCATAAAATAGGAGCACAAATAGCTGCAAAATCATGTTACCAACATGATCCTGATAAGTTAGCATTACTTAAAACATTTATTGGCATGACTGGGAGACTGAAAGTACTTTCAGAAATAGATGCATCTCTATAATGTCTTTATCTCAAATCTAAACACATTGTAGTACATGATGTACTTCCAGTCAGAAAACATTTCTTGACCTAAATCACAACAATGTGGCATTTTCGATAAGGCTGTCATTCTGTCAGCATTTCTTACACCATTGCTTGGATCATTTCTGTGATGTTCAAGATACCTAGACCATGTAGTTTTAGAGATGTTGTTAAAACAGTAATGCTTGAAAAATGGAGGCTGTTGTAGCTTAGACAAATATCAACAAGTGTAAAAAATATTTTCTAAATGAAAAATTTCATAATGACATATGCAACAATTGTTGAGTGATGGATATAAACGGATGCATATATACACTGTCGTTCACTGTAGATGATATCATCATTTAAGTAATAAACTAAATAAATCCAACAAACTGAGTAAAATATTATGTCATCAAAAGGAGAAACATAATGTCAAAGTTCTGCTCCCGCAGTCTGCCAATTTCAGAAGAGAAGTTTACAGAAGCAAATATGCATTTAGAGAGAATTTAAAGTGTGTTCAGTAAAGGATCAAAACTGACGCCGAGGTTTTGTTTGAAAAGTAAGCCTGCAGCAGAGGGAACTGGGGGAGGGCCGACAGGAGGAGGTGGTTTTGATCCAACTTATGAACCGACCGAAGATATACTTTAGATATAATTTCAATATTTGGTATTTACTGTTGAAATAAACTGGGATGCGACTGGCAGCCTGTGTCCTGCACATGCGCTGCCCGCACTACCCGTCTTGTGAGGAACACATGGTTCGTACTGACAAATGATCTCATTTTTCACAGTGATCCTTCATCGCCTAGTGGATAAAACCGCCAAGCTGCAGGGCTTCAAATTTGTTTTTAAAAGCCACTTGCCACAGGGCAGGTGACTTTAAGAAAGTAACTTGTCCTGACTAATTTTCCACTTGTCCTGATTTTATGACATAATTATTATGATGTAATTATGAAAGAAGAAATCAACATGGTATTTGATGTTAATGTTTACTGGACTATTTATTGAAAAGTGATAAATAGCGAAGAAAGATAACTCTACTTTATTATCATTGTGAAATTTAATAGCTACATTTTGAGCAGATATGAAATTAAATCCAAGTTTATTTGCAGTTTGAAACCATAAGTGGAAATTATCTAGTAGCCCACGGACAAGTAAGATACCATTATTTGATTGCCCGAAATGAAAACTGACTTGTCCCAGGCGTCGGGCGATGGGATTTTTTAATCCCTGAGATAGTAAACAATGGGTTGCAGGTTCGAAACCAGGCATTGGCACTATATATTGGAGGTGTTCAATAATCTGATATTTTACGATTGTATTCAGTGATGGCATGACAAAGTTATATCAATCTTCATAGCAAGTAATAATATAAAGTCAAGGGCTATTCCTCAGAAAATCCCTGGGATGCGGGCAATTCTGTAGAAAATCCATGGGATTTCTTGGCGAATACCCTTGAATTGCCTGTAGAGAACAAGAACCTGGCAAGACAATGGAGTGACATCACTGGAGGTTTATAAAACGACGTTAAAATGTAAGATTCAGCAAACTAAGGGAACACATATTGAGGAATGATACCAATATATGTACGACCTCTTTATTATAATAGAAGCAACATTTTGGTGTAGGTTCTAACACTGTTATTAAGCAAGTGATGAACACAGTATGGACTGAAAGCCATATGCACAAGTGTGAGGAAGTGTTTTATAGGCTGACTGGATAATGTGGGGAAGCCAGTTTGCTATACAATGCTGCAAGGCTTTAGATCAGATCATTAAAAACTGCTAACAAGTGAAGTCTGCAGTATAAACAAAAGGATTATAACTGATGGAAATTGATGGTAAACTATTGTTGTTGTGGGGGATCAAAACTTGACTGCAAATCAGCTCAAAGTCAAAAGTTATAATATCCTCCAAAATAGAATACAGACGTTCTGACATGTACCAAATTCTATGTGTTCAGAAGACGAATAATGGCCATAAAACAATTTTTCAAACTGTTGTAACTATGTCAGAAAGAGGATTTAAACCTCCTGATCAACTTTCTGTGTCATCATTGTTCAAGTATGTACATTTTCCCATACAGATAATAGACCTGACAATGCTACCAATGACATTTTCAAAATTGAAACAGTAGTTTCACAGGAAATTTCAAAGTAACACCAGGAAGATTCAGCATAAAGGAAAGTGAATGAATCTAACTTAAGCCAGACCAATTTTATTTCTTGTTTTACAGATTTTTGTCCTCAGAAAACCGAAGGGCAGGAGGAAAAAAAAAATTAAATAAATGCTAAAAGTATTTTACTTTTGGCAATTTATGAAGTGTATATGGGGCCAAAACATATGTAAACACATTTTTTTGGCAAATAAAATTATTAAAATTTTATTTTTTGAGCAGGTAAATGATATTTTGGACCACTGATGTGCAGTTTCTTAAAATGTTATTGTGACATTTCACATGCAGCACAGCAGCGTAGTAGGGCCATGGTGAAAATAATTTTGGACCCTACTACGCATGCAGCAAGTATGAGGTATAGCATACTTTTTTTTAGCTTATTTGATTTTCTTGTAAGGCCAGACCAATTTATTTATTTTTTCTTGTTTTACGGATCCGTCAGTTGTATTTTCCAAGAATAAGAAGAAAAAAAAGAAAACACTTTCCGGCTTAAGATTGAATAAGAATTCAGATATTTAGAGATACCATATCTAACATCAAGTTTCCGCTTCATAGGCCTAGTAGATTCAGAGTGGATGTGAAGTGTGTAAAATGAACAACTGATGGACTGACAGCAACACTGTAGAGACAAATGACCATGCTATATGCTCACTGGAGTTTGAGTTAGGCGAGCTTAAAAACCTGAATGATGACTTTGACCTGTGACTAATCATGATGAAAACCTTTTAAAATTCCATGTCCATATACCTTGTTCATAAAAGTGTAACCACCATTTGTTTTCTATAGAGTGATTTTGACCTTCCTCCCTGATTGATTATTTACAGACTGTTGTCTAAGAGCTGAAATAGTGCAGTGTTAAACAACACCAACAAAAAAAGATACCAAAGTTGGTTGGTTTGTTGATTACCGTCGCACTCTGCAATATTCCAGCTATATGGCAGGAGCCTGGACCAGACAATCCAGTGATCAACAGCATGAGCATCGATCTAAGCAACTGGGATACAATGACAGGTTTCAACAAAGTCAGCGAGCCTGAACACCCTGTCCCTTTAGTCGCCTCTTACGACAAGCATGGGTTAATGAAGACCAATTGCAACCCGGATCTTCATGGGTCGACAGGTACCAAAGAACTTCCTTCATGCTATTTGAATGAGGTATGTGGAATAATAATCAAAACATCATTAATCTTTTTGCTGTTGACAGTTTGAGCAATCACTTACATCAGTGATGAAATTCAAATCATTTTAACACTAGTCAACAATACAAAATGTATGTGATGTTGAGTGAAGATGATGACGCTTTAAAGGAATATATCATCATCTATTCAAAGTTTCAAATGAATAGATGTGACATTCTGTAATAATCTGAATTGCTTTTAAATTTTAGGAAAATTCTTAATGAGAGTCCTCTCAAATTTCAGAGCAAACCTTCAGCATGAAAAATTGAAAGTCAGGAGACTGAACTCATTTTGATGGTGCTATAAAAGCATTCACTCAAAAACATCATCTAAAACAGCCAATAATCATACACTGAAAAGTAAAAAGTCATTTTACAATGATATTCTTCTTTTCAATGTCTAATTTGTGCAGCTAACTTAGATGTGAGTATGGTAGTCATCATTTGGCATCATACAGAGAATACAGCATTGGTTGTGTGCACTCAATGTCACAGACACCCAACAGAGACAAAGTGGTCACAAAACCTCAAGGTTAGCCTGAAACTTAATGCACTAGAAATAAAATGAAATATTATTGATAAAATGCTCAAAGCTGAAAGTGTATGGGCTCCAATATGTTGGTGGCATTATAACCATTGTGTTGATTGGGAGGGCAGCACAGGTAAGGGGGAGACTAATATGACTGCATCCCTGACCCTGTGGCTTCAACACAATGTGGGATGCCAATGGGTGACATTGAAACATTCACTATATATTTCACAGCTGAGCATTATTGACAACTAAATGTTGATTTTAAGTAAGTTTTCATAATAACACAATAAATGCACTGCCTTTATGAATAAGGAACCTTCACATGTTGTTATTGGATATTATATCAATAATTGTACTAACAATGATGAATAGGATAACATATTGTTATCATTCGACTGTAGTGTATAGGGTGATGTATTGATAGTTGAAATACAAAAACCCAAATCACATGTATGTAAGAAGGAAAAAATATCCACTTTCATTACAGTTCCTTTGTCCATTGTACATGGGACAAAAACACTAGATATCTATTTTTCATACATCAAAAGATGTGTGAATATCATATACATGCATCCCCATTGTCAGTAAATCATCTGGTGTATCAACACTCTGTAGGACTGAATCAGGGCATTGTGAGGATTACAGTAAACTGCGCACAACTTACTGACTATTATTATCATTTGTTGATCAGTTGAGAGTGTGTAGTAAATGCAGGTAAGTTAGCCTTCACATCAGTTTGGAGGGGTGATCAGTCAACTAACTCTATAGGTTTCATTAAACTTCATCAGAGTGAGTATGGATTTACGCCACTTTTAGAAATATTTCAGCAACATCACAACAGGGAACACCAGAAATAGGCTTCACACATTGTACCCATGTGGGGATTCAAATCTGGGACTTCAGTGTGACGAACAGAGGCTTTAACCATGAGGCTATCCCAAAGCTCATATTAAAAGAAAAGAGTAGTAAAGTGATTGAAAAATGTTTAGATTATTCATGCATTTATCTTTGTAAAATTTTAGAAATTTGAATTTAGTTTCATGATGTGATGTCCAGTGACCTTGATCTTGACAGAGGTCACCCAAAAGATGATGCCAATAATACCTCTAATTTCCACCAATAGAATCAATTCTTTGAATGATCTCTAGCTCATACCAAGTGACCTTAAGTTTAATTGTAATCCAATCATGTGAACAATTCAGGAAAGGAGGAATATTACGTATGAGGCCTCTAACCATTTTCATAACTACGTGGTTGAGAAAACCTATTATGGTGGTGTCGATGAAGTTCATTTTTTTCCAAAATCATGGAGATGTCCAGCTAATGTTGGCTGTTACATTATTGTTTTCATATTGAAGTAAACCTGGAACACTTTATGACCACATTCATTCACCTAGTATAATCTTTTCTCCCCTGAAGTTTAGGAGAAACTTGTAGTTTTGTTGATCTTGAAAAAACCCACGAACATCTAAATAAATCAACTAATTCATTCTGTCTGAATTCCAGATTAGAATGTCCCCTGGCAAGTCAGTATGATAGTGTATGTTTAAAGCTGTATGGGAGTAGGGTTATATTGTTGTCTCTTGGTTGTAAAGTAATAATTCTATCCACTGAAACAGTCCTACACCTTTAGGAATATTTCAGCAATAATTATAGACATAATAATCAAATATGTGAGTCTGGACAAGACAAAACCATGACTGAGAGACTAATAGCACAGAGTAACAATGCCACAACATCAAATTCGGACCACATGATCCCACTAACTGTTACAACAAGCATTGTGTACTGGAGACAGATCTTGTCTGACCTGAAATATCTACAGTCTGCTTTTCAAAGTCTTTCTCCCTTATGTTGTGATGTACCCTATCAGAAGATCATCGTACAAATCTAATTTTCAAGCATGACATTGTATGATGAATAAAAGATGGCTTTGAATATCTAAGTGTATAAAGTAGTGTTGTTATGGAATGAGTGTCCAGCATATAATTTCAAACCATGTCAGTCATGTTTAACAGTTAGAGTAGGAGCGTGTGTTTCTGTAAACTATTTTGAAGAAATACTGGAAGTATATAATAGTAAGTTATGTATGTCCTACCTGAGACAGAAGATCTTCCCAAGGAGTGGTGGAAAGATGTGGCCACAGCCTGTATCTTCCAACTAAACACTGCCAGCAGTGGGCTGAGCACACTTAGACTTGTCTACCACTCACATGATATGGTAGAATCAATGTACCAATGATGTATCAGTATTTCATGTAAAAGAGATTGTAGTTCTATATAACATTAATAAATGTCTGCCTATCAGGTGTCCAAGCACCACATGATAAGACATGCCAAATTTCTCAGCTATACTCATGATATCCAATCTTATGATAATTACAAGCTCTTCAAAAGATATTCAGCTTAGTAATGCTCACTTTTGGGTAAATATGCATGTGTGCCAAACCTGTCAGAGACACTGGCTTTGTAGGGGACATTCTTGTTGAAGTAAATCTACTGAGATATTGACAAGCTGTAACAGTAGCCCAACTTATTGACAATGTATTGTTGGGACTGAGTGTTACATTGAGACAATGAATGTGTGGAGATCTACTGCTGGTTCAGGACAGACAGTGGGTAGTTATCAGCTTGATGAGGTCAATAATGATGACAAAACCTGAAACTCCTCCCATCTACCCTCCCAATCAGGCCTCGACTCTACCACACTTACACCTGTCTACAACACAGTCAAGTTTCAACCTATCATGTAGGGACTGAATTTACCCTAATCCTGCTCAGATGACCTCCTATGTTTTCTACAAAAGTAAATGATCTAGGCTTGAATCACACCGACACAAGATATTGCCTATCTAATGCTACATTGGTTTCAAGTCATCTGAAAATTTGAAATATATCATATCATATTTCAGTGATATATGGCATGAGTTGCAAGTGTTAATCAGCAGGTGAATACACTGGGATCAGACAATCTATTCACCATATAAAGAGAAATACTAAACCTCATAGGATAATATTTTGATTAGCTTGATAGGCTCACAGCACCATTTCCTGCCTAAAAGTTGTGAAGCCGTCTTTCCAGATAGACCCAGTCTGCCAGCATATCAGTTAGATAAATATTTCCTATCGCCAGATAGCCTTCTTTAATAAACTTTCAGGAAGATAGTTCTCAAAATGTTTCTTACTTTTTAACACTAATGATTTTCTACTTAACAAAAATGAAAATGTGCAAAAATAACTATCAATAAATAATTAAAGTATATATACTTAGAATAGACTTTAGACTGTCTTTAGAGAGTGAATGAATGATTTTACATTACAAACAACAGTGTTTAGATACATCAGTCTTAGATACATAAAATCTATCTGCGACACAGTGGATCTGGACCACACAAATAATTATTGAATATGGATTTGATTACAAGCAGTGGTATATGGGCTTAAGTTGATCTATCCTAGTGGTCACATACACAAATTATTCTTATTCTGATAGAAAAAAATAAATGTTCTGTGATGTTGTATGGTAATATTTATCTTTGCTTGCTGTAAGAAAACAAAATTGATAATTTTTTCCTGAGTCATGTGAATAACTGCAGCATGATAAGAGACAGGCCATTTATTTTTTTTAAAAGTCAGGAGAAAAATGTACTGTCTATTACTGACCATAAATGACAGACTAGATTTTCACATTCTCAGCTCAATAATTATTCCATTTTGTTCCAATGGAAATTTCTTTATCTAAACCTAAGTATCTCAGAAAACCTCTTTATGAAGTTTATCAGTGTTGTAATATGTGCTCTCCAGTATTCTGTTAATGGTCAAAGATGTACACAAACATTCAAGTTATCTGACATAATGAGCAAGAATGATATAGGATTGTGTAAATATTGTTTGAAAATCATAATGAAAAATATTCGCCTTAAAAGATCAAGTTTTCCCATACTGTGGTTTAATGTATTCTTCAGAAAACTATACAACATTGACTGAGGTAAAATATTGGCACACACATGAAATACTCTACATTGATATACAGTTGATATATAATTTTGTATTACGATGCATGCACTTTGAAGTATTGTCAATATACATAATGACCTGTAGATATCATTTGAGAAAATATTCGGAAACATTGACAACTTCAAGTAGGAATCACTGAGAACGATTAAACTTGAATGTTTGGGAAATAATATTTAATATCTTGTAGCATAGCTGAACTGCCAATAAATAAGCAAGAAACAGGAAATAGTTTTATGAAAGATAATGAGGACAATTCTTAAAACAAATCCTAAAATAATATCGTCTAAAATTTCAAGTTAACCATGTCATAATTCTTTTCACTCTTTATTCATCTGTTAGAAGAAAACATTACATATTTGATAAAAGTTGATGTTCAAGTAAGTAAATCTACTACTTTTAATGGTGAGCATTCAAATCTATGAATTTTCTATTTATATTTTGACGGATTCAGTAGTTGTATCTTTGAGGCACCTCCTGTGAGTATATTTAGAACAAAGTATTTGTTATCAGTAAAACACCTTGAGGTTTGATAAAACAAAGTGGATGAGTGTAGTTTACAGCTACTTTGAAATGCATTTCAGTCATATTCTATCTTCTATACAATAATGAGTGGATGCCTCCTGCTACAATACATTACATAAACAGAAAAATCAAATTATACGAGGTATTTTCATAGTAACACTTCAGCTAGAAAAGTAAAAGTGACAAAAAATTGAAATATTCACAGAACATGGAATCATGACTTAACTGTATACATTGTGACATATTCAATGTTATCACAAAAAGATGCTTTTTTTCACAGTAAATTTAAAAAAAGAGAATAGTGATATTAGATATAAAAGAAGCAGTGTTTATTACCTTGAAGGGAGTGAGCTACTGTTTTTTGAGGAGAGGAGACTATGGTGTCTATCATAGTGCACTGTCCACTGCACTACACAGTCGAGTGTCCTAACGTGACTCTCTCTTGTTGTTATCTCTACCCACACACACCCTGACTGCCAGTTAGCTCTCGCTAGTCAACGACTTAGCTCTACCTCCGTTTAGGATACACAGTAGCCACTCAACAGGACAAAAAGCAAGTTCTTCCTGCAGTAGGTTGTCTACAAGGCTCGCCCTCAGGGATCAGTGGCTTGGTCCCCTCCTCATCAATTCCACAGTGTCTGCCCTTCTACCTTCAGCCCCTTTAATAATGCTTACAGTGGAAAAGAGAAAGTTAATCGAGTGGAACACCTCTGCCAACTCACATTGAAAGGACAAACTAGAGATTCTTCTGGGTATCTGCTCTCATATTCTCCCACAAAGACATAATCTGTCCATACCTTTACACAGTAATATAATCACTAGTTTTCACGGAACACTTTTAACAAGATCAATGTAAACCAGTTCATGTTTCTATGCTTAAAGCAAAGGATTTATAGCCAGTAAAAGCAATTTTTTTCCAATCTAAGTGGCTTTTGTTAGTGAACTTGATGTTGAAAACTTGTTGTTCTGAGAGATTCTCTACAAACATGTTTGTTATTAACCTTGTTAAAAGAATTGTTACAACTATGATGGCTGGTATAGTTTTAACCTACATGATTTGGACATAGTGATTTGAATCTGTTGAATCAGGATACATGAATTTGTCAAATATTCATGCATGAACAGATTTGATTTTTCTGAGCATATACAGATATAGTTTAACTCATGTAAGTAGAGGCAGGTAAGACACACACACTAGTAAAGTTATATGCTCATGTGCTACTTGTTTGATGTACAATACTCAGTCAAGAAAATACAGACACATCAGCTAGTAAGGTTAAGTGCTCATGTGCTCCTTGTGTGATGTACAATACTCAGTCAAGAAAGTACAGACACATCAGAAAGTAAGGTTAAGTGCTCATGTTCTACTTGTGTGATGTACAATACTCAATCAAGAAAATACAGACACATCAGCTAGTAAGGTTAAGTGCTCATGTTCTACTTGTGTGATGTACAATACTCAGTCAAGAAAATACAGACACATCAGCTAGTAAGGTTAAGTGCTCATGTGCTCCTTGTGTGATGTACAATACTCAGTCAAGAAAGTACAGACACATCAGCAAGTAAGGTTAAGTGCTCATGTGCTACTTGTGTGATGTACAATACTCAGTCAAGAAAATACATACACATCAGAAAGTAAGGTTAAGTGCTCATGTGCTACTTGTGTGACGTACAATACTCAATCAAGAAAATACAGACACATCAGCTAGTAAGGTTAAGTGCTCATGTGCTACTTGTGTGATGTACAATACTCAATCAAGAAAATACAGACACATCAGCTAGTAAGGTTAAGTGCTCATGTGCTACTTGTGTGATGTACAATACTCAATCAAGAAATTACAGACACATCAGCTAGTAAGCTTAAGTGCTCATGTGCTACTTGTGTGATGTACAATACTCAGTCAAGAAATAACAGACACATCAGAAAGTAAGGTTAAGTGCTCATGTGCTTCTTGTGTGATGTACAATACTCAGTCAAGAAAGTACAGACACATCAGCAAGTAAGGTTAAGTGCTCATGTGCTACTTGTGTGATGTACAATACTCAGTCAAGAAAATACAGACACATCAGCTAGTAAGGTTAAGTGCTCATGTGCTCCTTGTGTGATGTACAATACTCAGTCAAGAAAGTACAGACACATCAGCAAGTAAGGTTAAGTGCTCATGTGCTACTTGTGTGATGTACAATACTCAGTCAAGAAAATACATACACATCAGAAAGTAAGGTTAAGTGCTCATGTGCTACTTGTGTGATGTACAATACTCAATCAAGAAAATACAGACACATCAGAAAGTAAGGTTAAGTGCTCATGTCCTCCTTGTGTGATGTACAATACTCAGTCAAGAAAATACAGACACATCAGCTAGTAAGGTTAAGTGCTCATGTGCTACTTGTGTGATGTACAATGCTCAGTCAAGAAAATACAGACACATCAGAAAGTAAGGTTAAGTGCTCATGTGCTACTTGTGTGATGTACAATACTCAATCAAGAAAATACAGACACATCAGAAAGTAAGGTTTTATGCTCATGTGCTACTTGTGTGATGTACAATACTCAATCAAGAAAATACAGACACATCAGAAAGTAAGGTTAAGTGCTCATGTGCTACTTGTGTGATGTACAATACTCAATCAAGAAAATACAGACACATCAGAAAGTAAGGTTTTATGCTCATGTGCTACTTGTGTGATGTACAATACTCAATCAAGAAAATACAGACACATCAGAAAGTAAGGTTAAGTGCTCATGTGCTACTTGTGTGATGTACAATACTCAGTCAAGAAAATACAGACACATCAGAAAGTAAGGTTAAGTGCTCATGTGCTACTTGTGTGATGTACAATACTCAATCAAGAAAATACAGACACATCAGAAAGTAAGGTTAAGTGCTCATGTGCTTCTTGTGTGATGTACAATACTCAGTCAAGAAAATACAGACACATCAGCTAGTAAGGTTAAGTGCTCATGTGCTACTTGTGTGATGTACAATACTCAGTCAAGAAAATACAGACACATCAACTAGTAAGGTTTTATGCTCATTTGATACTTGGGTGATGTTGCATATGGACACTAAAGGTATATACTTTGTGATGTTGCATATGGACATTAAAGGTATATACTTTGGAAGTACCATGTGTCATTGTGCCAGAACATGAGTCAAGTAGATTTTTGCATTGTAGTTGTCTGTGGCAATAACACATGTCAGATGTTGTTCATGCAACAGTGACCAGAAAGACATTGATGATAGATGGATACATTTTAGTTTTACATAGGAACATTACAGAAATGAACTTTTCATTGGTCTTGCAGACTAAACAATTAGAATATGACAAAAGGCAGAAATAGAAAACAGACATGGAAAAAGATACCAAAAATTACTCACATGGACTGTCTGACGGTTCACAATACTCTGCTTTACCACTTTCTGAGAAGCAAACAATTTTCATTGTGAAGTCCCTTCAAAATGAGAAGTATTTCCCTTCTGAGTGAGAAGTTAATTTAACACCTTAGCTAGCTCAACCATAAAAAATATGGCAAGTAAGACAATGTTTCCCACGCTTTAAGACAGGGAAGAGTGTCAAAAGTGTCGTGATGTGTATACCTATCTGGTTTTAGAAACCGTTAGGGAAGGGATTTATACTGTAACTACTTCTGTTGGGACCAACTGATGACCCGCAAAGAGGCGACGTGCATGAACAAACAAGAAAGCCACTGGTGTAACTGTATATTAAAACATTGTTCTCAGTGTACGAGCTCTAATAGAAGGCCAAACAGTCGATCAATGGAAACCGTTTTCTTTAAAGCTGTAACTACTAAAGCGAAAATATTTCTTTTGTCTGGAATAAGATGACACCATAATCCAAGATGCTATCACTTCTCATACTGTTTTCATTGTGAGATGATATATCATACCCTCTTTGGGAATTGGTACTCATAAAATAGATTGTTATTCAACAAAAATGTACAGGTAAAGCATATTAACCCAAAATTTGCTGGATTGGAAGAACACATATAAAAGCATACTATAGACACTAACATAGTTATGAAATTTTAAAGTTGTGGTATCGGTAACAGGCATGCATTCTTTTCTAATGTTAACATCAGTAAAATGTATATTTCATTGCATGTACTTTTGGATATGTTAGGATGATGTTGAGAAGCTCAATAAAACTGGCCCTGAAGTTCCTTTTCCATGTGTATACATGGATGGCTTTTCAACTCTATTCAACTAGTTTTGTTAGAATGCACACAAAATTATAATTATAAATTCAACATTTGAGACCATTTTCATGTTATTGCCAATCTAACAAACAGTCTTCAAGGAACGTGTGACAACATCACACATGTGTATTAAGGGATGTAGAAATTGGACAAAGGAACATGCTTACAATGTTATGTACGGTTTTGAACAAATGAGGCCATGTAATTTCTCAATATAATGTGAGCATAACCTATATCTGAAGTTTGCACTGAGGAATGTCCTTTGGTGATGAAGTGGTCATCCATCCAGCTTAAGATATGAAGCCATTGTGTTTGACAGAATAAAAAAGAATGTAATTTTATAAAGTAACTTATTTAATGCTATTTACAACTAAGTTATTTACTATATGGAATATGCATCCTGGTTTGTTGACCATACAAGACTCATTTGAGGGATATTATAGATACATATTTCACATGTCATTATGCCTACATTTAGCATTAGCTCAGTTTGAAGAACAGTACTTGCACATGATTCATTTCTGCATTGATAAATATGCAAATGATCCCTATGAACTGCACAGTAGTATTTGTTACAGCATCCATGGGTTTTCATTCTGTTGTGGGATAATGGCTTAAGGTGAGATTGTTTATCAAACAGTTAATACTTCATTTCCTTTTTGATGCAGTCAGCCATGTATCAGTGCTATAATGCTATGAAATGAAGCTGTTATAGGAAATATGGTCCAGTGTGGATGATAGCGAGGACAGCGAGACAAGTGGGATTCCACATGCAACCATCTTCATCAGCTTGGCTACAAACACAATACACTGTCCTCTTTATGTCATTATACAATCAATGTCAGCCAACCCTTCTTCTTGGAAACAGCACAAATCAATATTGCAATAGATAACTGAAATCTGTTTATTTAACAGCATGCATTCATTATGTACATGTTTTGTTGTTCAATTCTAAATCAATGATAAAATCTTCATCTTTAACAAGTCAAACTGATGTCTTCATAGAAAATAATACAAATATTTAGTATTTATATTTAGGAGATTCAAAAGACTCCGACACATTCTTGAAATGGTTGGTAAAGTTAAATGTTATTATTGGTTCAAGTATGAAAATGGAACTCAAGTCTCGATGTGAAAGTTTTATGCATCCTGCTAACAGGAAGATTCTACATTCTGAAGACAAACTGGAAGTATGTCTACAAAGCT